CTTTTCGTGTACTACATCAAAGTAAAACAAACACAGTTATCGAGTTCTTAGGTTTTCGCGATTGTTACAAGTACGTAATGAAACTATTTTTTCGTATCTAAGAGCGGTTACAGACGACGACTCTTGGCAGCGATGCAAACACGCGTTCGTGAAACGCACGATTGTATCGCTACACTTGCGATTTATACGCGATTGCATCGATGCAAACGAACGACTGCATTGATACAAACGCGCGATTGCATCGATACAAAGGCGCGACTGCATCTATGCAATCGCCTATCAATCCCAAGTATAGTGATTGATGCAATCGTGTGTTTGTATCGATGCAGTCGCGCGCTTGCATCGTGTTTGCAATGTCCCCGTGTGTAACCACTCTAAATCACGTTTATTTGTTTTTTCGAACAAACTAACTTTCGAGCTTTTTACAGGTCCCACTGTCATGGCAGTTAGCCGTGACCGTTAAATAGTTTCATTTCCTATAGATAAACATCGTTGAGTAAAAATAAAAATTATATAAAGGCCACGGAAAAAAATGCATAGGACTTAAAAAATATAACAAACAAGGCAGATTTTTGTGGCTAGAGTAGATGTTGTCGGTACAATGCTTTGAATTTGTCTTTGCAACCTAAAAGAGTATTTATAATACGAAATTCAGGTTATTTGGGAAACCTAAAAAATATATTTTCTCAAGTATAATACCACGTTAACGCCCGCTGTAACACGGAGACAGCTGTCACTTATTTATCAACATCTTGAAACATTTCAAACACGTTCTCAACAGACATTTCCATTAAACCATCATCGAATCGTCAAAGAAATGAAAAGGAAAAACTCTTTCGTACCGTTTGCATTGGACAAACCGCAGGCGGGACGTTTGTGCGATCCCTTGAGCTTTGAGTCTTTTGATATACGACCCCGCAATATGCACTTGCAAACAAAATCCTATCTCATGTGCGCTATAGCGGAAAACCAGAAAAAGCGCTCTATCTTAACGACGGCGCTTCTTCTTCTCATCGTGTCGATACTTCTTTTATTTTAAAACCGGTGGTCCAAGTGATAATTATTATTGATAATCATCACGATAGTGATCACGTACGATGACAACACACCTATGTGTTGTCGTCCATATAAATACACGGAATTAGAAACGTCGCGGCATCAACCCTACAATATATACAATAAATAGCCGGTATTAGCTAGACAAATTAACGCTGTAGATATACTTATTTTTTGTATTAGAAAAAACGTAAAGAAAAAAGCAGTGGTCGTAAACCTTTTTCTTCAGTCGACAAATAACAGTAAAGGAAAACATGACAAATGATTTTCAGTTTCAGTTTCAGTTTCCGTTTAATGTTTGGCAGCCCTGTCTCTTTAACTTTTATTATAGTGTAATGACAGGCGCAGTAGTAGTGACTCTCAGATCTTTGCGATTTAAAGCTCTAAGTAGTACTGCAACTGTTATGGATACGCGCGTCGCTTACCACCACGCAAACGAGCTGTTCGACACGTCAATTATACATCTTCGTCACTTTAGTCTTTTATTATTTCCTTACATTGTTTGAGAAAATCCTTAGATACTTTGTTTAGTGTTATTTTTAAAGTAAGGCTCTTTGAAATACACAGATTAAGTAGGTAAAGATAGAAAAAAATAATTTAATTTACAATCAGTATTTAAAATGTACTAATAAAGTACATAAACGTAGTAAATATGCTAGAGAAGTTTGTTTCACGATATTTATTAAATTGCTTTGCTTACAAAATTACAGAATGAAATAGTGCCTGATAAAAGACACCAAATTGCTTCTCTCTAATGCTACAAAAAACAAAGTATAGTCTGGTTAGCCTTTCTAAGACGATGCTTGTACCAAACAACAACACTTGCAGATATCCGGAAGTTGATTACTGCCTGGACCTTTGGGGAATCTAATTTTTATACATTTGTTCTGATCGGACTTTAACTGCCTCTGTGGCCAAACGGTTACCATGCCGGACTGCCACTCAGAGGTCTCATCGACTTTTAATATTTGTATTACCAAGAATATTCTATGTACTGCCCTGGAGGGAATTTTGTGCGTCTGTTACTCTTACTAGAGGGAATTCCTCATTTGAGACCTGGTAATTAGTGTAATTGTCTAGCACATCATTTCTGCCGATTCTAATATAAGGTAGATATTGATCTTCTTTTAATTCGACTGACGGTCGTAAGCGCTAGTATATTCCAAAAATTTTAATTATATTTATAAATATTACATTATTATCTTACCTGCTTTTAACCATACATGATATCAGCAACACAACATCTAAGTAATTTAGAATTAGCATATAATGATGACGTCATCACATAATTGTATTAAACTATTATAACAATTGTAAATAAACATATTTTCATCTAACGTAGCAATTTTTTTTTCTTTCTTTTTAATTGTGGTTGCCGTAACAATGTGTAGGTATGTAGGTATAGGGTTGCGAGAATAGCCTGAACCACGATACATTTGGGTACAAAGACCGAACACTCTATATTCTTAAGGATTTTATATCCTAATTTTCATACGACAATATATCAAAAGATTTTCTTAAATTTTAATGAAATAACAACAAAATTTAATAAATCAGTCTTCTTCCACACGCAGTATAGGCGTCGAGTTGCGGACACCACCCGTCACACCTATTACCAAGTAAATTAGTTTTCTTTATTAATAATAACCTATTGTTGCAATGGTTATCCATCCAAATCAAAAACAAAACCAAATTTGGTCAAATATTTAATATTTGACTAAATTTGAGCCTACCCAAAGTCGGGCAAGACGGAAAAAGCCTATATCCAGCTATATCCGGAGGTCTGGCAACTGGTCACCAATAAAAATCATTAAGAAAAAAGTTTCATGAATCGACAAAAACCAATAAATCTAAAATTCTTGCATATAAACTTTCGAGTTGCCGCCCCGCCGCCGCCGCCCGTTTGGTGCGTGCGATGTACTTTCTTTAGTAACTATTATGTAATTTGTGGATGTACACTCTTCTTTATTGATATACATAATATATATATATATATATAATGCTTATTACCTTATTACCCGACATCATTAACATAGCGATGCGTTGAAATAGGCAGCTTAAAAAGTGACAGACCGTATAGCTAAACAAATCTGTACAGGTATATTTTTTTCACTACCGCTAGTGACAGACGGTGCTTGAGTATAGTGACTTGCAATTCTTTTTATTTCCATCCTCTAAGCTTGCAATACGATAAATAAAATCAACCGTGCCGCACCGCCATCTTTCTTTATAAAAGCTGGTATGGTTGAGGTAACCAATACATAATTTCAATCCGGTACACAGCAGCCCGGCTAGCTCAGTCGGTAGAGCATGAGACTCTTAATCTCAGGGTCGTGGGTTCGAGCCCCACGTTGGGCGCGCAAGTCTTTGTTTTTTTAAACACAAATGAATGATTTCTATACTTTAATAACACTTATAAAATTATGAACCACGTTAGTCTAGTTTTTAAATTGTGCACAGCTACATATTTGCTACATATTTCGTTAATTTGGCAATTCGTAAGTTGCGCACCAAACGCATAATTTTATAATTACAGAATAAAATTGAACCCTTTTCCATCATGGATTAAAAATATAATAATTCCCAAAATTTTAATACTGCCCTCTAGCGGAGAAGACGAGAACGTCATAGCAAAAAGTCACACGCACCTCAGAACCTACCTCGCAGGCCTTGCACCTTGATTTGGTTGTGAGAAATGTCAAACTTCAAGATGCTTCTTTTAAATTCTAATAGATGGCATTTTGTCAAATAAGTCATTTCCGAGCTTTTAGTTCGAAATTATGTTTGAAACCTTATTTTTAGCTTTGTCTATTTTCTGGCTACATTTTAGTTTTCTTATATTTTGAATAACTATAATTTGTTATGCTAAACGCTAACGCAATATCAGAGGTTATCTAAATATTTCTCTTAAGCTATTGAATAAATTAATCATGAAATTAAAATTAAAATAACAACGGTAACAGCTACCAGTACCATTCCCTGCATAGAAATAGATATGGATTGCCTCACTAATTACCATACCAAGCTCAAAATTGTTTTTTTTTTACACGTCATCTTTTTATACTCAACATTATCTGTGCAATTTGGTATGGACATTGCTTAATTTATCGCTAAGAATTTAGCCTAAAGTACAACGAAGATGTATAAAATGTTTCTGGATGATTTTCTTCTTTTGTGGTCGTTGGAAAAAATATATATTTATGGCGTTAAGTTACAAATATCGTAAAGTAAAATAAACAAGTTATTTATTTTCATCATTAAACTATAATTTAAAGCTTCAAACGTGCACAGGATTTCATAGTAGGTAAATACAAATATATAATATAAATATAATAAAAAAATATAATATGTAGAGTTGATTTTAAAATTTTAAATACTTGTAAACTCTTACCCCGTCATGGCAGCGTGATACCGTTGATAACGTTTGTATGGTAAAGAAATTTAGTTTAGGAATAAAGTAAATCATAATTGCAGCTTTCTTAATCATATAAAATTTTTGTTAAAGCAAAAAATCACAATGTCTTCTTCTAAATTTGGGACAATAATAAATGTTAATCGTCATTTTGCAATAAACAATTTCGACAGTTTATGTAACTAGAACTGTAGCTTACCGTATATCGTGCCATTTAGGACGAGTGTACGAAACTTAAACTTTTGAATTAATAAAGTTATTTATATGTATAGTTTAAAATTAACGAATTATCTTTTCCATACAGATAAAGCCTAAGTCATAATTACAATTTAAATGGATTTTCCTTAGAACCCATTTCTTACATACCTCGTAAATTATATCCATATCGCACCTAGCATCTTTTCTTACATCCTTGTCGCTAATTTCCGTGGCTTCCTCAGCGACATCGTTTAGTGCAATTTGTATTGTTTGTATAAAACACGGCCGTCACGCGAGCGCAAGTTACTCTTGGCGACATCTTCATACAGATGAGATGAGGGTACTGCTCTTAGCTACCGCCTTATGGGGTAAGTGCAATTTACTATAGTTCGCCGAAGTACATATTTGATTCTTATTATTAATTAGTACATGCATTAGTATAGTACAGTGTATGTATAGTATATGTATAATGGACATTTATTTGTTTATAGAAAACCAACAACTCTTTAACAATCCACAGCACCTAAGGTAGAAAGAAACATCTTAGCCCATATTAATTACGGGAGAAGGTGACTTTGAAGCGTATTTCAAAATATAAAATTATGATCTTCAAATGCTTTTAGTTTAAGTGAATAGGAAACCTTATTACTACTCTATTTTGCACAGAACAATAATAATACTTTTTTATACAAAAGAAACCAATCTCTAAAGTCTACGTAATTACATCTGTTTGCCACATTTTATTGAAATCAGTTAACAGAAAGTTGGTCCAATGGTCCAACCGGATTCATCCCCTAATTTGCCACCTTTGGGGCCACTACTGAGATATTTTCTTTCGAATAAAAAAGTATCACCGAAATCGATTCACAAAATGTCTAAATTATCGCGTAACATACACGAAAAGAATATAGTCGAATTGAGAATCTCCTCTTTTTTGAAGTCGGTTAAAAAAATAAATAAAGTTTCATATTATAATACGTACGTAGACGAATTTCTAGAGTAACAAGTATTTAAAGATCTTCAAGTTGCTTTATCTACACTTTCCTGCACCACCTGCGCATATTCAATATTCACTTATTTAATAGTAAGATGTCTTAATTTTATTTTTATTTGCAGCTGCCATTAACTTGAGTCTAGGCGTATCGACAAAAATGGATTTTGGCGAAGAAGAAGAAGAAGCACCGACTGTTGTGGTAACCAACTCAAGCCACCTTGGAGATGACGACGTCGAAGTTAAACATACTATAGTTGTGTCTACAAAACTTAAAAATAATAATCGGAGAGGAATTACTAATAATAAAGGTAAACCACACTTGAATGAACTTTTTGAAGATATTTATTTTAATACTATCTTTGTGAATGTTATCGAACTTTCTAATGGAACAGTGCTACGAAAAGACCACGGAACTGTTATTTTTCTGAATGTTAAATACATTTAGGGTTACCAAGTAAACATTGAAATAGATAAGGTATCTAATAGGTTATATATTATCTTTGCATTCCTAGGGGACACAGGAACTCTTACATACTCCATAGGTGATGGTACTAAAGCAGCCAAGGCAGATAGCGGTGAGGTGCCTGTATTCAAAAGCTACCAATCCGTCGAAACAACGCGAATTCGAACCCCTGACAGTCGATACAAAACGAAAATCTATCCTGATGCCATTTTTGTCAGTCGAAATATTCGCGACGAAAACGATGTTTATCCTTTCGTTGCTACAAATCCTATGCAATGGAAACCAGTTAATTTTTACAATAATATTAATCATGCCAATCCAGATGGAAGTTCTTCGATCGATGCAAGAAAGCGACAGAATAATATAAAGTTTCATAGAAAAATTACAGATGAAGGTGCAAGAGAATTTTATTGCCAAAAATGTTTGGAACTAAGCAATGCACAGAACTTTAGAGGCTGCACCGGAACGTATAGGAATTCTGGAGTTCAACAGCGTTCAGCAAATACACTTATAAGACAGACGACTACACCGAGAATAGATGGAAAATTAGTGAAATTAAACTAATGGTGACGTTCTATTGTTTTTGTTCATCCCGTGTCCATAATGGTGAGCAGCAAAAACTGCGATGCTATCGGTTAACCTTGAAAAGTTAAATGACGTAAGTATGGCTAGGTGTAAAAATGGTGGCCTAAAGCAAAATAGATCTTTTCTTGTCTTATTACACATAGGCACTCAGAGTGAGCTAAATTTTATTGTGATAAAGCCACGGAGCTTTTTTTGTTTATAATAACCACGCCAAAACATGAACCTATGTACAATTTGTCTGCTTTACATTTTAGATATTCTGCAGTTGTTTTTACACCATCTTGCTGATGATTTAGGTGATATTCAGATATGACACTATTCCTGGAAGCTATTGATCTGTCATTTTTTTAACGATATCAAACATCATTTCTAACAGATATTAGGAAATTAATTTCTGCCTATAATGAGATAGTAAGTAATTAGTAATTTAATAAAATTTAATTTAAATTTTAAAAACTGGTACACAACAGTGTAACAAATGATCATCTTCTGCATATTAACAACTGTGCGATTACCAATTTAGTGAGCTCAAACGCGATAGCACAGATTACTATAGACGATAGTTCTACTGTAATTAGACTTCCTGGTTGCAGCATCAGGTCATACAATAATATCACACAAGTTGCCATATTATTGTGAAGTCATCGGATTTTCATAGTATTTGAAGTCGATGGTTCAAGTGGATGTAAAATAAATATTCATTTTATAACTAGGTTGCCTACAATAACTAAAAGAGCTGATGATATTTAAACAGCTGAACCGGAGTTCACAAACATAGTTAAGAGCAATACTGATAGAATTTGCCTTAATTTGAACCTCTGAGGGCCCCTGTACATTAAAAAGTACATATTATTTTATGTGATTCGGACCCAGCCAACATTATTCCTATGATCACATAAAAGCCCAGTGTACATTCTAAATGAAAATATCTCATTCAAATCTAGCGTTTTAAATTCTATATAACCATAGAGTATCTAGAAAAACACGTTTCAAATTGCCGGTTGCGTTTTTCATATAAACTTGACATACTTGCTTGTAGTTATATTTAGTACATTTTAATGTATATTGGGCGTTTAACTATTTACCTATGATATCTTAGGAGGTTAAAAGAACCCCTTTGAGATCAGTCCTTCTATTGGGGAGCCACGATGCCATAGTAGACATTATAGAAAAACAGAGACATAGACACAGGCTTCAAGCTTATAACTCCCCTCTTTTTTTCTCATCGGAGGATGAAAAGCAAACGAATGTAGTAGTTTTCTTATATTTTAATTCACAGGTAAATTTGGAATCATTATTGTTTTGTTTGTTTCATCACCATGATGATAATGAAACGTCACGCTATTTGAGATCCATGCTTTATTTATTTTTGCTTACTTGAATACACGTAACATTCAAGAGAAAATACTTTTAAAGTAAACCAGATGCTTGCATTGGTTTTCAAACTAGATCCAGCACTTTTACATGTAAAATAACGATTCATTTGTTTGCAAATGTTTTAAATGAATACATAAAAATTCTTAAACAATCTAAATGGTAAAAAAAAATAGAAATTATTAGTATATTTTCATCAAGCATGTTGTCATTTAAATCAGTTATCTTTAAGACTGTATCTGCTGATAACGCCGTTATCGTTGATAATGGTCTCACCGCCCCTGTCGTTCACCTGTTGACCATTCAAATTGGCAGACGAGGAGTACGAGGAGCTGGAGACGCTATAAAATTGCCTGCCGCCATTTCTTCCCGCATCCGACATTCGTGTCACGTCCACATTGGGCTTGCGCTGAAAGAATTATAATAAATAGATTGTAGAGTTTTTACAATTTTTCTCACTTTAGAGCTTGCCTTTCGAGTGCCCAATAAAGCACTCTCTTAAAGGTCATAAAGCTTGCATTATGTAAACATTCTGTACATCTAGATTTTAATGTCTTTCATCTTTAATCAGGTTCCCTAAAACAAAATTTGGATGTTTTGCGTACCTAGTTATTTAATTATTCAGAATTGTAATAATAGGGGTTAAAGTATGAAATTGCCGATTTGTACTGAAAATCTAAATTGTTTATTTTTTAAATTTTTAACAAATTTATTTAATCAAAATAGTTGCCATTATTATCTATACATTGCTGCCATCTAATGGGAAGGTTATTAATGCCTTTGCGATAGAACTGCGACGATCTAGACTGCACAAACTGTGTGAAAGCATTTTGTACTGCCTCCTGGGAAGAAAACTTCTTGTCACGTAGATAATTGTCCAAATCACGAAAAAAATGGTAGTCCGTTGGAGCAAGGTCTGGTGAATACGGAGGATGACGAATGGTTTCTAACTGCAGTTCCTGAAGGGTCAAAATGGTTTCTCGTGCTGTGTGAGGTCTCGCGTTGTCGTGGAGCAATAATGGTGAAGATCGATTCATGAGTCGGGGCTGTTTTACTGCTAGTTTTGTCAACATGGTTCGGAGTTCGGCACAATAGACATCTGCCGTTATTGCTTGACCAGATCGGAGAAAACTATAGTGAATAACACCATGCTGAGACCACCAAACAGTTACCATTACCTTTTTATTGGTAAGTTTTGCTTTAGGACACTGTTGTGGCATTTGACCTGGGGTCAGCCATTGCATTTTTCTTTTCCGGTTATCATAAAGAATCCACTTTTCATCACATGTTACAATTCGATCCAATATTCCTTCATTTCTGTACCGGTTCAACAAGGCAACACAAGTTTCAACACGCGTTTCTTTCTGCAGATCAGTCAAATCATGAGGCACCCATTTCTCGTATTTTTTAATTTTATTGATTTGACGTAAGTGAGTCAATATTGTGGGTAAGGTAACGTTAAACCATGCCGCTAATTCCTGGGTAGTTTGACTAGGATCGGCTTCCACTATCTCTCTTAATTCATCGTTATTCACCTGTGTGGGCGGTCAAGCGGTGGGAAATTTCCATCACGAAAGCGTTTAAACCAAAATCGCACGGTGCGTTCATTAGTAGACCCCTCTCCAAACGCAGCATTGATATTGCGGGCTGTTTCTGCCGCGTTAGTTCCGCGTCGGAACTCGTATTCAAAAATCACTCGAATTTTCGCAGTATCCATCTTTCTAGTCTAAATTGAACAACAAAAACAATTGAAAGTCGATATTCAAATGTTACAAATTTAAAAAAAAATCCCAGAAACCATTTGAAAAAAGTTTCATTCGAAAACCTCAAACCATGAAGATTCTATGAAAATTCAAAGAACCGATTGCAATAAAACGGCAATTTCATACTTTAAACCCTAATATCTACGTAATTATAGTAGCGAACAATTCTTTTTTTGTACTTACTATGCAGTGCTATGTTTATATTGTATACACGATCTTATCGGTCTAAGTCATGATTATAAGGTCTACATCACCTACAGATGTGCGTTTACAATATTGTTTGTGCTATAATTGCTAGTTTTAATACTTATCTATTTATGTTAAAATCTTAATTTGCTGTTTATTTGAATAAACATTATCGTCTAAGTAATATTTATTTATAGTAATTGGTTTTGTACTGTTTTCCAGTGGGATCAATACATTTTAAATGGTACATCATTTAATTTTGGGTTTTCTACTGAATTTTACTTCAACAAGTAGCATTAAGTTTACTAAGGTAAGTAGCAGTAGAGCTTGTGAAAGAGTTCGTCCAGTAAAGTACCGCCACCTTGCCATGTGAACATTACTGCGTTCCGGTTTTGAATGGTAAGAGTGCTGGTGAAATTACAGGCACATGGAACTTGTCAACTTATGTTTCAGGGTGACGGGCGCTGTGGCTGTGCCCCTCAGATCTTTGCTATTTAAAGCTCTGAGCGGCACTACAACTGTTATGGATAGGCGTGTCGCTTACCGTCAGGCGCATGACTTGTTCGTCCCGTCACTTGGTATTATAAAAAAAACAAAACCAAACCGATATCTGAACAGAAAGAATTTAATAAAAAAACTTACCGGATTTGCTGGGTTCAATGCAATTTTATGGGACTTATATCCAGGTCCAGCCATTGCACTGGCGAAAGCACTGTTCGGTCCCATGGGTCCCATGGGCCCCATGGGAAAGCCGAAGGGTGGGGCTGATCCTCCCATAGGCATGCCGAAGCCGAAATTTCCGAAGTCAGGTATGTTACCGAAACCTCCGGACCTAGAGTCGAAGGCAAAATTAGGTACGTAACCAGCGCGATTCGACGTTAGGTCGAATGCCTTTCTAGCTGCGTCTAACGCAACTCGTTGATGATCTATGTGATCAGCAAAGGCCCTGGAAGAGTAGAAGTAGTACATCAAACACACAAAGAGGAAAGTTAATAAATAGAATTAATGTGCTGCAAAGAAGGCTACTGGAAAAATGATAGATTTAGTAATAGATGAATAGAAGTAAAAATCAATATGAAAGTGTAAGAGTTGCAACGCAGTGCTTTGTTAATTTGCCCGTTGAAATATCTCGCAAGCCTAATTAACTTCAGGATGCTGAGCCATTACTGTATTATTCAATCAATTCATCAGCCTATTGCAGTCTGCTGCTGGACATAAGCCTCCCCAAGTGTACGCCATAGTACCCAATCAAACGTTTTCCGCATACAACCACTACGCGACTTTCTTCAGATCGTCGGTCCACTTGCAGGGGGACGTCCTACATTTCATTTGCCAAGACGTGGTCTTCACTCGAGAACCCGTCTATTCCATCGCTCATCGGTTCTGCGTCGGATGTGGGCAGCCCACTGCCACTTCAGCTTGCTACACTTCTGGACGATGTCCACAACTTTAGTCTTATGCCGAATAACTTCGTTTCAGACTTTGTTCCTTAACGAGATACCCAGCATAGACCTTTCCATAGCTAGCTTAGCGACGTGTATTCTCGGAGCCAGATTGACCGTCATAGTCCACGTCTCAACTCCGTAAGTCATGACCATGATTACTGTGTTATTAAAATCTACTAATGGTGTACCTAAGTAAGTACTGCCTGTGTGGAAAAAGAAATCCAAACCAATATGAAGGTTATTTGGTTGTGGAACTTTTGGATTCATACGTAATCCAAATAAAGGGGCATGTATTTATGAGATTGGTTTAAAGTAAATTTAGTCAAATTGTGTTATTAACTGCCTTCACCTGTAACAACCCTAACAAAAAAAGCAGTTTTAACTAATCACTTAAGAACCATCACCGCAAGCATACTGCATTGCGTATCCTTCAAAGGATAATATTTCTTACTCTTGGAGAATAGTCTCGAAGTTTTTAAAGTACTCAGGGAAGAAAGAGTCCAAGCTCTGGAAGTTGTTTACACCGCCGTCAGAGTTGAAGGAAGTAACGTCGTCTCCCGAGATACTGTAGGCTTTGCCGTCCTGGAGTCCGTAAGTACCACCGTACCTATTGCCTGATGAGTCCTGGTACGCAAACGCTCCTATTCCTGCAGGTGCCGGTTTTCCTGGAAAGATAAATGATTCATGATTACTAACAGGGTTGTTTGTACAATATTGTGACGATGCTGACCTCCTTCATAGTCAACTTTTTTATGAGCCTCTTTACTGGTTCCTGGCCACTTACTTTTAAAATTTTAAATTTCTCTAACGTTCTATAATTCCTTATTCCACTATTCTTACGTTGGTTCGTTCCGTCATCAATCCATCAAAATTCTCAAAACGAGAGGACGTGCTTATTAATCATCATGTAAAACTCAACTACTACTACTACTACTCCCACTACTACTTCTACAACTATATAAAAATATTTAAATAGACCGCTCCAAACAGTGATACCTAACACTTTGCGGTATGATGCAAAATACAGGAATGGAAGTAGGGGTCGTCGGGATGGATGCTTACATACTTGAACTTACTACCTAAAAAGATCTAAAAAGTGTCAGATAGGTATATATCAAATAATAAGTATCAAATAAATAAAAAGTGTCAGGTATATATATCAAAAACTTAGAACTTTATTTTTGGTAAATTTATTATGGTATGTAAAAAGTCATGGAACAAAAGTTGTTGTTTATGATGTTTTTAATATCGGTGTTTTGTGGAAAAGGCGAAAGCGCCATTTCAGAAGCATTTTCAGAGAAGCATGTTTTGGGCTGTAACGACTGTTTTAAAATATTTACGTTCTGGTTTAAAATCCAATTTTGGTTTTAATTATGTTTAAGCTTTAAAATTGAATCTCAAATAGGACATAATTATTTTAAAACAGTCGTGAAAAACTAAAACATGCTTCCCTGAAGAATTTTTCTAAATGGCGCTTTGCCCTTTCTACAAAACACACATGATTATAGTCCTGCGAGGTTGTTACTATATTAAACCTATATATGATATACGATATATATATATATCGATGACTTTCTAGAAATTTTATACTGGTCTTTAGTCAGTCTTTCACGTACGGATGCCTAGGTATTATTAAATACTGTCGTAGAAACCTATAGTAAACAGTTACAGATGACATCAGGGCGCAGTAGGTAATGCACGAACAATACGTATGTTTATGTATATAAGTGCTCTTCAACTAAAGCACACAAGGAAAAGACGTATACCTGTATCTTTGAACAATTTTATTTGTGTGATGTTGTCTGATGTAAATAAACCACTAGTTCTTCGAAAAAAGAAGAAACAACCTTGTCATTACTACAAAAACACAACGTAATTCTAATAAATCAAACAATGAAAAAATTACACATTCTGTAGACATGAATCAATTAAACCAGACATGTAAGCAAAACATCGCATCTATTGATCGCACGAAATAGAATAATTGTCATCATTAGTCAAAATAAACTCCGTGTCAGCCCCATTAAAAGATGTAGTCGACAAAAAATCCTGCGCATCTGTGATTGATGGGAATCCCACATCATTGAGCGATAATTACAGTAAGGGTGTGTTTGAAATGCATAACTTGAGCAATTTTCCTAGTTTAAGTTTTGCCTTTTGTATGTGAAACAAGAAATATAGTCACACCTTTCGGGTAATAAGACCACATATGCAAAATGGCAATTGTTCAGAAGGTTTCAAGATTTTGCGAAAAAAATTATTCGATATCTTTCTTGTACTTAAATAGGAGAGTTATAATATTTCACAAATACATAATTTGTTTCATGTAGTTCGTATTATTTTTATGATTTTCATGTGATAAAAGCACTGTTGACGTATAGTCGCGACTATAAATACGACGCAAAAAAAGTGACTTTCTTGTATTAAAGGTACAAAATGCTTCAATTTTAATTGTTATTGGTTTACTCTGATGATCAATAAAGTTATTATAAGAAGATACACTTGCCTAAAACATGCTTGACAGGTTTAATTGGGTGTTAAATTGTAAAGAAGCCAGAAGTTAAAAAACAGTGCCTAGTTCTTTATTTACTTTTCACAAGTCTCAAGAAATAAAAAAAAATAAAAATAAAATCTGTCTCGATCTGGTAAAATACAGGTCGAGCTCTCATAATAAAAATATCAGAGACAAAAGTACTTTTGATATGGGTTTATTACTTAAAGAGTACGACAAATGTGGTTAATTTTTATGTTATACGTAACGCACAACAAGAATCAACACAGTACGGTAACCTCCACAAAAAAACCAGAACTTATAAGTAATTTTAATTAAAAGAAAAACGAAAAACTTACTGCACACCGAAGAAGTCCGAATTTAACTGAAAATATATTTCAAAAGGCTCTATCACAAAAGGCTGGGTGTGAGTCAGTATGAACAAACACAGTCTACACTAAAAAATATGGCGTAATTGTTATATTCGACAAAACAACCTGCGACTTAAAAGTAATGTCTGCCTTATATATGTTGTTACTGTAACGAATTAATTAACACATTGTCCCTGTCGGGCTTTATACCCTATATCTTATGTTTGTGACTGAATCTAACTTTAGTCCGTATTGTAGTAACCAATTACCGAAAGGCTAACTAATATGATTATAACCTGCGTTTTTTTTATATATTTAGGCAATATAAATGTTATGTCTAGTGATATGTCAGTGGATTAAAGGACACAGCGGCTCACGTGGCAATGACGCAGCAGATGAACTAGCCAGGAAAGGGTCGGAGACGGACGCTGTAGGACCAGAACCGATAGTGCCCCTCCCCTGCCAATAGTCCAGAACAACTACACACAAAGGTACAAAATCTTCACATAATAATACATGGACCACCCTTACGGTTTGTAGACAGGCGAGGGAAGCACTCCCAACGCTCAATGCCAGTCTATCTCAAATACTAATTAAACTTAAAAGGCAAGAGCTTCGCACTCTAACTGCCGCCCTAACGGGTCATGGTCCATACAATAAACACCTTTTCAATTTAGATATCACAGACAGTCCTCTATGCAGAGCGTGCATGGAGGGGGAGGAAACGGCTGCGCACATCCTACTTCAGTGCTCCGGCGTGGCCAACTACAGGGCAAAATACCTTGGAGTGCCAAGGTCGCTCCCCGAAGTCTTCAGAAAACCAAGGAGGCTGCTGAGATCCCTGGAGGAGCTTGGGTGGCACGAGTAGGACCCTGCACCCACCACACGCAAAATAGGCGCTTTGTCGTCGAGTTGCGGATACTAGCCCGTTGCACCAAGTACCAAGTACCAAATGATATGTCGTTTGGAAAAAGAGGGACACTATGTATGTATGTTCATTCTGCTTTTAATCTCACAAAGGAATAAAGATTAGGTTTTACATAATAATTTTCAACTTTCTTTTGTTTCTATCGTATCGTGTAGAAGTTGCAGGCATTTCTACCGTATGACACCTTTATGACTTTACCATAATAATTATATGTCGTGCATTGTTATACATTACAAGTTCGCTGTGATATTGGGTGTAAACCAGTTAATACCTCGTTACCACCAACCATTAAAATCGATTCACTCTATTTGCAACTTATGACTCATATTACTCTACAGTAGTTTGATTCTCACTAACACGTGACCAAATGCGTGACTCTATAATATACTAGTATAATTAAAATGGTTAAACTTGACCAAGAACAGTTAATGATTATGCTAATGGAAATGTAATGTGTTGGCAGTTAGATGAGTTAAAACAATTTGACGAATTCTAACATTGCGGCCATATATCACTCTGAAAAACAAAAACATTTTCTCTGGATTCTGGACATGAACTTTAATATTTAAGATCATTATATACAGTTAAGTAATTTACATAATTTCACACTACCATGTCGTTATTAAATATTTAAAAATCAAAACAGCTTATACTGTATGGGATTGCCTAGTCTGGTAAGTGAATGAACGCTAGACACAATCTGCTTAGAATGAAGTAATAAGCGTTTAAAATAACATTTCATTTCTTTTTAGATTATAACCATATTACAACGAACAATGAACTTTTTGCACATTAGACAATCGGAAGTCTTTGAACTTTGCGAAAAACGCATTTAAACTGAAGTAAAAACTAAGAATAGGCTTCCTATATCCGTCTTATTTTGTGGTTGTAATTTAACGTTTCGCACACGCTTGCGTGAACATTGATTATTATGAATCTGCGCCTAAGGTAATATTTTGAGTTTAAATAGGCTACAGATGACACAATGAAATTTACATTTTACAGAACGATAAAATGTGAACACAAGAACTCGCCATTTTTTTCTATTCGTGAGAATACCTATTTAGAAGCGACAGTTGTCAACATTAACATTTGTGTTCCCATAGTATCATTAATTGCCACACAAATACATACAATTAGGAAAAAAAAGGAAATTAATATGATAATAATAATTCAGACTATCAGCGCAAAAGTGGTTTAACCCACATTTAATTTTTTTCTACAATATTACTTCAAATTATATTAAATGCAAGTACAAGAGATAACCAAAAGGTCCAGACTTATTTCATCTGGGGGTCGTACTGATGATAACAATAAGAACAATATTCTATTTCTTATTCTAATCTATTTCTATATTGAACAATATTCCTGTGGCGGACGTTTGGAATAAAATATTCGTTTTTAAAATTATTATGGATAAAGAAGACTTAACAAATGCATATTCAATGTTGGTATGAAGTAATTATTTCTATTAAATGTATTTGTTTACGACAGCTATAGAGTGGTTATGTTTTTTTTTATACAAAATCATGTTTAAGACCGAGTTCGAGTTTCTGCCTTCTAACTATGTTTCCTTTATTACATAATTGCAAAAATCCACCATTTTCCTTAGACTGTTTTTTTTAAACACATAAATTTTAGTTATTGAAGTAAATATACCGGATGTTATGGAATTTAATTACAACACAAATAAATGCGTTTCTTTGTAATAAATATTAGTATAATAAAGCTACATGTGCTGAATGTGAACATGAAAATCATAAAAATAATACGAACTACTTGAAATTTTATGACTCTCTTAATTAAGCATAAAAAGATATCGAAGTAATAATGGTCGCAAAATCTTTGAGGCTTTCCCTGAAAAGTTGGCACTTC